ACTGCGATCGGATCCTTGCGGTTGAGGTCCAGGGGTGCACACTGCGAAAGGATCCTTGCGGTTGAGGTCCAGGGGTGCACACTGCGATCCGGGAAGCAGATTGGCGAAGAAGATTGGCGATGAAGATTGGCGAGGAGGTTGGCGAGGAAGGAAGCAAGGAGGAAGGAAGGAGGGAAGGAAGGAGGAAGAACAACTGTGATAAAATCTAACAACCCTCACCTGGCAGGTGGGGAAAAAACGCACACAAAAAAAGACATCGCTGTGCTTCATGGACCTTCAAAATCCAAGGCAGCCAGGCTATGCCATGCCCGATATCTTCGGTGACGGGACACGTCCAATTTGAAGCTCCCTCCGACATGAGGTTAATCGTGCAAAACACATCTTCACAAAAAAACAATATTATAAGATATATATATATATACACTATACTATACACTCTACTATACTATATTAATTGATGTCCTGCATCTGCTTCCACAAAGTGCTTGCCTTGCCCCTGAGGAACAAATCTAATCTAGTCGGTCTCTAGAACAAACCATCTCGCCTCAGGTCGTCCCGAAAGGACCGGTTTCCGTCCGCGAAGGTCTTTGCGTTGCGTACACTTGCCGCGGTTTCCGTCCACATCTGTGAAGGTCCCACGTCCCGCGGTCAGGGCCTTCCATAGACCACGATGTACATGTGCGTCGCAGTCTCTCCAGGGAGGAACAGGCTGTCCGTCCTGCGCCGCGTGGACGTGGCGACAGGTCCAGACGAGGAGGACTCCCAACCAAGAAGAGGTATAATACTTCTGAGCATTGGTTTGGTTCATGGTTTGTTTTCTTTTTAAATGAAGGTCAGTAAAGTCCCGCTGCTTCCAAACTATGTAGAAGTAGCAATAGACTGAACTGCAATAGAGCGCTCATCCTGAGGATGATCGCTCGGTCACTCGGTCACCATCTGCTGTCCAGGACCCTGTGGCCTTCCAGTCTGTGAAGATCTGGACACCCAACAGGCCAGCTTCTCCCGCTCAACTTACGATTGATCATCGAGCAAATCCTTTCAGAAACTGGAGATGCCTCACAGGGTGACCACAAAGTGAGATGCCTCAGTGTGGGACCAATAGAAATTTCAGTATAGATGATCGCAGCACCCAGCAAAAAGGGACGTAGTGACTGGTAGTAAAGAGGATGCCGCTTGGGCCAAAGGACTAATTCGGAAGCCCACATTCTCTCTGAGGCCTCCTAAGGCCAAACATGCAACTTGGAAGTAGCCAAAGTACTAGCCGACACAACACTCCGCCCTAAAACAATGTTGAGTGACCTACAACTGATTTTCTGCTTATCTCCAAGAAAATCCATGGATGTCAATCATGACATACTATGACCCACCTCTAGTTTTTGTCCGCCTGACCACCTTCGATATTTGAAGGACTTGAAAAAGCAAACCCCAACCAATCTGCGGCCATTGTAACCAGCTGTATACTTTCATGAAAATATTGGATCAACCCAGGCCCTCACTGGTTCCTTCCCCAGCAAAATCCCAATGGATTATGCAAAAGCAGTCTTCAACCCCATCAAAACCAAAACAAAACTGCAGCATCCCCTTGCCCAAGCGTTTTCTCCGCCCAACCGACACCCGAAACACGACCTCCGCCAACACCGCTCCTGGCCAACTGCTTCTTTTGAATCGCGTTGTTGGCCAGGCGATGGATCGTGTGACGGGAGACCACGCAGAGCCGTGCGAAGAGGGGGTGAACGGAGAAGTGAGGCATGCAAATCTCACCTTGGGCATGAACATCGGTTGGGCGCAAATGGCATCAAAACCCAGGAATCTGACGCTTTTCCTTTCATGGGTCATACCCCACAATGGACCTATAATACAAGCCCAGCGAGGTTTTGTTCTTTTTATTGGGGGGGTGCGTAAAACAAGGAAGTAGAGAGTGAATCTCTCTGAACAACGACCTCGGAGTGTTTTCCACATCCGTTTGGACCCTTCCGCAAAAAGAGTCCGTCCCCCGACTGACTTTCAGGTTCGTCCACGTGGGTTTTTCCGTCCCACGGACTTCGGGCTCTGGCCGCGTGGCACTCCAATTCGCTTCGGAGCTGCTCCGAGAGCAGCGTGAGGAGTTTAATGTCTTCTGCTGGGACGTTCTCCTCTTGGCCTCGGCTGGGATGCGTCAGTCGGTTCATGAGGAGTGGCTCCCATCGTAGCTCGGAGTCGCCGTCGTGGCCCAAAATGCCGAGTGGGGGTCGAACTTCAATGAGTGAGCACCTGATAAAGCCTGCTCCTTTCATTGAGAGTTCGAGAACCATTTTGACACTGACTCTGGTGTTCCTATCACCTCAGCATGTATCCCCCTGCTTTCATCTTGGCCTAATATCCTTACATGCAAAAACATCCAAACGAAACGCAGTCAGTCAGCGCACATTGCACTGGGGTGGTGGAATGATTGAGGACCGCTTTCTCTCATCAAAAGTGGTGGAATCTCATTTGCTGATCACTCGACCTAAATCATTTGCTCAAACCCCCATGCTAGGCATGTGGAAAGGATGGATTGATTGGAAAGTTCCACTTGGTGGTTGGGATACATCGCTGAACTATAAATGAATTGATTATATCCTCCTCAGAGGTTACTAGATGTTAGTAGTTATAGAGACAAGTATATCCTTACTAGGTACGTGTTTGGGCTGACGTTCACATCGTGTGACAAGTTATACCCGCCGCACCAAGTGGCTCTCCAGCACATGCTCCACGTACTTCCTTGGTTTTCCACCCAAAGTGGCCGCGTGAGAAAAAGGCCCAAGTGGCTCTCCAAACCGATGAAATTCAAGAAAAAAGTAATAACCTAGGCAAGTGCAAACTGGACATGGATGTTTGCTTTTTTAACATGATTGGTTAGGGCTCTAAATCTTGGATGCACTCACGTTGTATTGCCCTCGCAAGTTTCTCTGACGAGTCAGTGAACTTGGGCAAAATCCATGGGAAGACCGCCCATCGTCAGGCATGGACTGACCCTCTACAAAGGGTCTCCCCCGAATGCATCTGAATGCGTGTCGTATGGGTTTCAACCTCCTGTTCATGCAAGCTCTGAATGCTTTCTCTCGGTCTAATGAAGGCTAAACGGAGGGTGTGTGGAGAAAGGGGGTCAGCAAAAATTGCTTATACAAAGTTAGTGCATCAAAAATACCTTGCACGAAGTTCTGCGAAGGTTTCTGGGATTTCGTTGCAGTCAGTTCTCCTACTGGCCCACCATTCCACGATCTGTCCACGAACAGCCTTGGATTCTACGAAGGTCACGCGCCTTCCACGACGTTAGTAGAATAGGTTTTTGCAAACCCTTTCTGTGCACTACCCTTCCGTTTGCCTTTGATCTAAGCATCCTGGGCTGCCAGCCGATCTGAGACAAACAAGCGCGGATAAATCCTCAGAAGATTCACTCTCTTCTATCCTTTCAAGTGCCTTTCTAGTCTTTCCAATTCCATCCAGTCAGCAGGAGGGGTGATTTGCTTCACTAGTTCGTATCCAGGATGTCAACCCGAACCTCTTTTTGGTCACCGATCTGTTCTCCCCCAAGCCCAAGCCTTTATCTCATTCTCTCCGTGGGTCTGGATCCGTGCATTGAGGGTGATGGAGACCTTGTTCTTCCGCAAATGCCGTCGCAACTCCCAGAACCTCAGACCGGTCCGTTCCGACGTGGGGGGATGGTTGACCAGAAGCGGTTGGTTGACCACGGTCGGTGGTGGATGTTTGGTTTCGACAACAACTGGGTTGCTTGGGTTGAGAAGCTGGAGCAAATTGAAGATCTGAGCTTGAACTGGCTAGGGTTGGCAGTTTGGTTAGGTCGTAGATGGAAATATCTCGAGGTCAATCGTAGAGCCTCTCAAAGAAGCCTGCGAGACGTCTCCTAGTCTTCCCAGCTACATGGAGCTACTGGCTTTTGCGTGCTGCCACCTCGAGAAAATCTGCTCAGCCCTGGAACTGTCGTGCCCGGTTCTCGGTCATGCCTGGCGCAGTGGCGCAGTGGCACATGGAGTATCTCGGTCGGTTCGTTTGGGAAAAGGTTTAACATCCAAACATCCAACAAAGAAGCAAATTTATACAATGGTTTCAGCACTGGTTTCAGCAAGTGGGTCTCTCTGTCTCAACATCATCAACATGACCAAAAGTAAAGGTCTTGATATGTCTTGATATATTCAGAACGCTGAGTGAAGGCTGAGTGAAGTAGCGCGTTGGGGAGAGCTACAAGCGAAAGACAGTGTCCAGAGTATTCTCAATCCCTTCTGGCCGTTGGGCTGGAAGTCATGCTGGTTGAAGACCTTTTCCATCCTTTTCCCAGCTGACCATTGGGCTGCCACTCACACCAACGCACCCCAAAACCAAGTGGATCGTTCGACTCAGAGCCCTTTGCTGTCTTTCCCTGAGGACTCACAACTCGGAGGCGCGCGGGCTTCGCGCGGGAGGCGGCTTCGCCTCTCAGCTGTGCGAGTGATCCAGATATACTTCCCACCACCTCAGGGAAAGCAAAGCAGTTCGATGATCACTGGCAACTTGGATGTGATTGGAAAGTGTTGGGCCCCATAAAACGAAAGGGTCTAAGACTGGGTGGTGTTTCATGATGCAGGCCCCCCTGCGGAGCCGTCAAACATCACCGAACATGCAACGATTGTTCTTACGTGATTATATAATCATAGACCACGTACGGCACGAGTCATACCCGCAAGCTGATTCGGCATGTAAAACGTGTGGTTCTTTGGACTCAGTCCAAGCCATACCACAGGGAAACAATCACAACGTGACACACATCTATATCAAAGAACAAAAATTTGATCAACATGTATACGATATGTCCATGTAAACACCACTGGGTTGAGTGAGATTGCTGGCGTTCATCATACAACATGTAAAAATCGTGCACCAACAGAACAGTAAAAAACAACAAACAAACAAACAATCAATCAATCAATCAATTAATAGTAAGTCAGAGTCTCAAACATTTCCAGGTGAAACAAACACAACGAATGTCAACACCTACTCGAATTGAACGATTTTTGCAATGAACGTCGAAACAAATCCGAGTCGCATAGGAGAAGCCCACCAAGGCGAAGACCACCACGCCCAAGGCAAACAAACGCTCCTCATGTCGATTTTGTGCAAATTATGCAACTATCAATTTGTGCTACTTACTTAACTGAACAATTATACCACGTACCCTACCAGGGCCCTATACCAAAGGTTTTTTAACAACTTGCATCACTCATTCTACGGAATGGTTGCTGCGTTTTGTCGCATCAATGTCGGTTTCGGCTGCCTGGAAGCGACATGACGTGACGTGAGGATTTTTGTCCGACTGGATCAGCATGTTCCGCAGTTGGGGGTCTTCAGCATTTGTGCATGATGTTGGCTTAACAGTTTTAAAAAACACGTGGCTTCAGAGAAATAACACACAAAAACCTGAGTGCCAATGTCCCAAAAGCCTGTGCGCCCATGAAGCTTCACCGAGAACTTGTCCCGAGCCGGGGCACATGAAGATTCTGCGGCTGAATGTGCATGGAGGCGGGCGTGAATTGTGTGATGGCCCAATGAAGACTCGTGGCGTACCTCGACCAACCGTAGCGACACCGCTCGTCGTGTGCGGCCGTGGCCGGAGGGGGTACTGACCTGGTGTGACTGACCTGGTACGCTTTGGGCCGTCAAAAGCTGCAGAGCTTCTGCAAAAAGAGCAAACAACTCCAACCCTCCCTGCAACAATCATGGCAGTTGACCATGGGTCCTTCATAGACCCTGTTCCTTAACTGTCCACTTCCATGTTCCCCTAGACTCCAGGAGGCTAGAGTTAGAAGTGTTGTTTCAATGTTTTTTATATGTTAGGTGAGGGTTGGTAGATCTTATGTCAGCTGCCTTGCTCCTCCTCCGCCTCCTCTTTCTCCTTCTCCTCAACCGCAAGTGTCGGCTGGCAGTGTTCCACGCCGGACCTGAACCGCGAGCTCGGGCTGGCAGTGTTCCCCGCCGGACCTCAACCGCGAGCTCCGGCTGGCAGCGTTCCCCGCCGCGCGTGCCAGTGTTCCCCGCCGAACCTCATGACAGATAGAACGCCAGAAGAGTGTCAGAAAGAATGTCGGAAGATATGCAGCAAGTATGCCAGATAATATGTCGGAAAGAATGTCAGAAGATATGCCAGAAAGCATGTCAGAAGTGATGCCAGAAAAATGTCAGAAGATATGACGAAAATACTGTCAGAAAGAATGTCAGATGAAAGAATGTCAAAAGATATGCCAGAAATAATAATGTCAAACAATGTCAGAAGTTATACCGGAAAGAATGCCAAAATATGCCAACATGTTTTTGAAATGTCATGGTGGGGATCACTGGAAGAAAAGTAAGTTACCACATTTTACCACCCACTTTGATGATCTCTGTTGAACCCTTGATTCCAATAGATGGCGATGACAAGACCGACACATCAGTTGAGTTTCAACGTCTCGTACACGCTTGCGTATCATAGGACTGTGCCGTGACGGTGACGGACGATGTTCAAAGGCAAAGATACGGCACATGCACCAGAGACGGCACGTGATGATTGCTACGAATGAGTCAGTTATGAATGAATGAATGAATGAATGAATGAATGAATGAATGAATGAGGCAAACAATGACACGTGCTCAATACATCTCAATACCCGTGATCCATGGCTTTGTCGTTGGCGGATAAAACATATTTGTTGAATGCTGTTTCAGTGTAGACCCTGGCACAAACAGAACCGAGCACATAAATATATAGTAGATTCAAAACACGGTCATAGCCAAACAACACCAAAACAACAATAAAAATTAATGAAGAAACAGGACCTTCGTCAAACCCTGCCCAAAACCTAACTCATCCATACCGTGCATACCCAGCTGCTGATATTCCCACTGCTCATCCAGCAAGTGGTGCATTTCGATCCATCCCCCAGCAGAGTCGCCAATCCAGAACCAAAAACACGCGATGACCTCGGTGAAAGCTTCTTCGGATCGAAGCGGAGCCGGAGCGGAGCCCGGAGTCGCCGTCCGGTGAAGCATGCGGACTGAAGGGGATTGGTTGAAAAGGAGTCAGAGCAGCAAATGAATGCGGGGTTTGATGAAAAGAATGATATCACATCAAAACGAATCCGAGTTTGTGGAGCTCCACTCAACAAACGCTATTTCTCGGTTTGGGAGCTTTCTGGGAGGCCCCAGTAGACGCATCATGCCACATACCCCGGCCATGTTGGATGGGAAGCATGCTATTTCCCGTGACATTTGTGTGTTCTTTGACCGCTCTCTTGGCGGAACAAATCAACTCCGTGCCAGTCGCCCAAAGTCACTGCACTATGACTGACGACTGTACCGACCTATTCCCCCACATTTCCTCGCCGGAACTCATTTCGCTCAGAATCGAACTGTTGGACAAGGGACAGTCCAGCAGTATCTAGCATCCGAAGTACGCGCTTATGATTCATGAAACACCCTGATGAAAGAATGAAACATGATCCTTCAAAAGAGTAGGAACACAGCTCTGCCAAACAGCTCTGCGATCGTACACAAAAGAGCATTCTGCAATCTGTGTCAGTTGGTTATAAGTCTCATGACGATGTTTGTGTAGCTTTGCCCCTGACCCATTCGCCCCAGTTGCATCCGGAATCAGGTTGCCGCTGAATCCTTGCCATGATACGTGGTTGACGATCATAAGCAATGCCAGCATCTTGAAAATACTCACAATGATACTGATATACCTCGCCAAACTCAACTGCCAAGGAATTGGCAAGCGGATGCAAACGGTGAATATACCTAGAACCTCGTTAGGCAATATGTTCCGCCCAACGCCCTTTAGGCATAAAATTCTGCCCATTTTTGCAAAGAACGACTAAGCTGCAGCCTCAAGGGTCAAACACGCCGAGGCACAACAATCACATGCATTCTTACATGCAGGCGGCAAAGCCAGAATTTGAATGAACAAGCTTTTGAGAAAACCAACGCGCCTGACGTCAATTCCAAGTCTAAAGTATCCCAACTACTGATTGTAGTGAGGGGGAACGGTTAAGAACGCCTAAGCGACGGGAAGAACACTTACGCAAAAATATATTAAAGCATTGAAACAATGACAAAGAACACATAGAAATACTAAGACCATACAAAAGAGAAACATCAAGCGAATTCACAATAAACAAATGTACCTCACTATGGAAGTTCCGTGAACCACTGGTGGGTGGATCCTCATCTATTTGAGCAACGCCACCAAAAAGACAAGACCGCCTAGAGGGGACAAGAACGCCTACTGTACGGGGGGCAAGAACGCCTAAGCACGGGCAAAGCCGCCTTTACCCATAATAGGCAGAAATTTCTGCCCAAGAAGAGGTTCTAGGTATGCACCATATACAGTATACCAAAGCCAACTCATGCAAAATGCCGTCATCTGCACCTTCACCCAATGACAGCCAGATTTGTTTGTCAGCTCTTACCGAGTAATATCTAATCACCCAGTCGCATGTGTAGGATTGCGTCGGTTGCTCCTATGGATTCCACAGACCTCCGTCGAGCCTCTCCGGCGCCGAAAGCTCTTGGCCGCCCAAAAAAGGAAACAAACAAAACATAAAACGACCATACTCAGCGTGAATCCAATATTGGACAAGCAAGAACACATGATGGATTGGCACACCAATTTCGACTCCCAAATTGGAATCCCCCAAACCATTCGTCCAAAAACCGTTGAATCTACCCCAACCAAAACGCAACCCAACCCATTTGAGGCACCCAAACCCCCCACAGACCCTCCAAACCCTCCAAAACCCTCACCCCCACGCTCGACCGTCCCAAGGGCTCCGAGTCCACCAGGTCGCTGACGCCTGACGACCCGTGCGACGTGGTCGGTGGTCGGGTCCAACCGTAGTTGCTGAACCACCATTGCTTTAATAGCCTGAATCCCGAATAAAACCAGACTGTTTCACTAAGGGTTTTACACTACAAAGCCGTCTTTGACTTCCAGGGTAACATATGAGCAGAATTGACAGTTAATTATGTAACATATTATGCATTATATTGTATTTTACTTTCTAGTTATTTCTGCAATGGACAAAGCCAATAGGAAATCCAACAGTTATGTTATGTTATGCTATGTTATGTTGGTTCATATGTTCGACCCCCATGAATCCATGGTATTTTTGTGTGTGTGTCAGACCTATATGGGAGGGAAAAGCTTACTTTTTTGAAGTAGGTCAAAGCGGGAGTCCATCCCAGCTGTGGGCTGTAGATGTTGTTTGTTGGAAGGCCGGACTCACAAACTAAGTTGAAGAACCTGAACAAAAAACTGCTTGGTTGAAGGATCATCCACAAAGTGTAGACCCAAAAAATCACAAAATAGATATTAATATAGAACAGTAGATCCACACTAAGAATGTATTGGAAAGCGTGCCACTATCTACTTGGGGACCACTATCTTCACCCCCGAAGGTTGTCCCAAGAGTCCATCAAAAGAAGCCTATGGAAAGTGCGGACCTCTCCATTCGCCGAATAAGAAACCATGAGAACCCCCCTAATTAAACAGCACTGGCACTGGGCTTTCATCTACAATTTTTCCACCTTAAATCCAGACACACCCTGTGTCTCCGGTCTCCACTAGTCTCACCCGAATCGAAACCAGGTAGCTCTCCATGGTCTTCCGCAGCCGCAGGATGCGGATGAGCCGCACCTGGGTCGAGGCGACGGTACCGAACGAGGACAACGGACGCCTATGTACGGCTACCGGATGATTCGGATGGACGTGGAGGATTCGTTGTCATTGGATGATGGGGACTGGGATGAGGTTTCTCATGCACTTGGATTTCAAGCATTTGGATTCTCAGCCAGGAATGGACCTGCAAAAACGGCAGCAACATGTTTATGATTGCTCGGGTGGATGGATGGTGGAGGAATCCGCCTTCCGCCATCGACTTGTCTACAAATGTCTACATAGTAACGGGAAGCGAGTTCAAAGGGAAATCAACAGCCCACCCACAGGGAATCCCCTCACCTTTTCAGGTTCATCTGCGAAAGACCGGGGAACCCTCACCCGAGCTTGAAAACCGGTGGGGCTGTGCGGCTGTGCTCACCAAGTGGCCATGCGGAAGAGGCGAAGGCTGCGGAGCAGCTTCACTGAGCTGCCAGCGTTGTCGGTGGACTCCGACAAGGAGAACGCCCAGTCAGATCCCACCTGAGGGAAGTGCCACATCTGGCCGACCAAACCATCTGTTAGGTGACCAGGGGTGGCCAGGGATGGCGACGGAAACAAAGGGGGTGAAGGTCATGTGTGTGTTGCAAGAAGCTGCAGATGTATTGGTATCCCGGTATAAGTTTTGCTTGTGAGAATAGTGCTGGTATCTGTCCAAAACAAATTGCGCATGCCCGCGCCAAAACCAAACACCCCAAACACCCCTTGCCGTCATCACACCGTGTGCTGTCAATGGGTATGTGACGAAACATGGAGACCCACAGGCTCCAAACCAATCTAGACACACCCAGGGTCCGTAGGGATCATCCAAGCCGGTAAATAATTGAAAGGTTGTCCAGCTGTCTGATTCATCCACCATCCACTGCAACAACGTTGTCCATCCAGGTCTGACGGGCTCGACGCGTCTCTGCGTCTCGGCTAGAGGTGCTTCAGAAGTCCCTCGTTCGGCAAAAGTCCCTCTGATCCTCCAAAGGTCCAAGGTCGGTTGAGAAAAAACAAGAACTAAGAACCCAAGGCACCGCGGTCACACGGTCTGTTGGAGTCTCTCCCCCTCCCCCACGTGCGGAGTCGTGCGGGATGGTGGACCACAGGCCTCCAAATCGAAGCTCAAATCCTCTGAAAAGCTCCACCGAGGTGCCACCACCAAATCGATGATGAACCAGGTCTTCAAGTAGTGCCTGAGCGGGTCACGCTTGTTGTTTTTCAGGGAGTGGGGAGTCGACCATTGGATCGACCTTTATCTTTGGAAGCACTCAGGGCTATCCATGGTATCCGTGTATGTAAATCTTCGGTGAGCTAATTCCCGGTCATCTCGGACCCTTCGGGTAGCACCCGTCAACCCGGTTGAAAAAGAAAGGGCGAAGCAGGACCATGTGACCTGCTAATTTGGACACATGAGAGTCATCTAATAAGTCACCTACAACTTCTATAGCCATGGTGGAGATGCCAACGACAAACAGGCTTGTTCAGGTTTTTGTCAGCTGGGAGTTGCTTACTGATCCAGCAGCGGCTTAGCTATCCAGCTGAATAGTAATCTCATGTAATCTCAATCTCTCTCTCTCTCTCTCTATCTCTCAAACCCCTTCGGGCCAAATCCAAGCACCCAAACTGCCAGTGAACGGTACACGAACCTTTCACTTTATATGTTTAAACTGTGTGGCATGTACATGTCTCTCCCCCCAAATCCACCCAGGGATACCCCTGCCGATCACGGATTTCCCTTCCCCCAAAGGCTCGGTCCGAGTGGTGCGTTCGGGGCGCAGGAAGACCTTGATGGGCACCATCACGAAGATGCCCTTGTCGATATAGCCCACCTATACCGAACCCCAAACGCGCTCGCGTCCTGTTCGACGTCCCGCGAGGGGTGCGGTGTGGGAGGTGGAAAATGGCAAGTCCTGCAAAGATGGCCTTCCCTTGGCACATCCGGGGCGACCGTGTAAAACCATCGTGACTGGGTGACTGGGGAATATCCACATGATACCACATGATGATGTAAGGAGTTCTCTGAATTCGACTGTTGTTTCAAAAAGAACATGATAGGGAATCTATTTCAGCAAGCACCGCCACATGGGCCGTGTTCAGTAGTTCTGTGGAGGAAAATTACTACATGCTACCATACTGGCAGCTCTTCTGACTCAAACAAATAAATGACAATGAGTTCAGGACTGCGGCATTCAGTTCCCAGTCGAGGGATGGAGGGGCGAGCAGAAATGAACCACAAAGACATACAAAGACTCCGGTCTGCTCCTCGCAGTCTGGTAGGGAGAATTTGAAGCGATGTGTGTGGGTCGACATGTTTGTCTTTTGGGAGGTTTCTCTACGAGACCGATGCATCCTCTTTGCAAGACCTACACAGGTGGCCGAGACCGATGGAAGCCGCGTCAAAGCTCTCCCGCTCACGAGCGTCTCGGACTGTTTACTCTCAGTCCCACCATGCAGGAGACCAGCATGTTCATGGTCCAATAGATCCTGGGATTCGAAGCTACTCAGCCGGCTTTGGGGAATGTGAGAAACAAATGCACTGATTCTTGTCAAGAATCATTCCTTAGTCACTAGTCATTTTTTGGGGAATAAAGCTGATCAGCAAGTGGTGAATGAAACTTACTGGAGACAGATAGAACTAATCACCTATAATAGGAATAACATGCATGTCGTTCGTGTACTGGAGTGTTCCCACAAGAAGCATCCTTCAATCATAGATTCTTCTAACATGCCTTCTAAGATGGTAACATGTCTGATTCTACCATCTGTAGAACCATTTTCAACATGTTCAAAAACGTAGTTCTCAACTTGTCCAAAGGGCTTAGCCGGCTGCACCGAAGACATGCGTTTTTTCGCACCTTCTTTTCACCATCGATGTACCGTTCGGCCACGGCAAGAGTGCCGGGGTCGATGTACCGGTTTCCGGTGCCGGTCGAAACCGGTCGGTGCCGGTCGACTGGTTTCTTGTCCGGATTTGTATTTGATCTGATCAACGATTCAGCATGTTGAGCAACACTCGGAATTCATTGGTGCAGATAAAGGCAAGTAAGGCATCCCCTCGTGTTCTTTCCATTCAGTTCTTCACAGAGCTGTCTGTTTATCCTCTACACACACGCTTTCCAAGAACTTGGACACACATGGCCTGCGAGTTCAGCCTCACTTGCCAGGCAGGGTTCCTGTTCCTAAGTAGTTCCCTCTTTTTGGGAATTACATCCAATCCTTATGCAGTTTAAACTTTAAACAGCAGCCGTGAGCACAAGCGAAGCGCCCAAGTGCGTTTTTCCTCAAAACATGTCTGTTTTGTATAAACCAATCAATAAGGTCTGCTTGTACATGTTAATTAGAACCTCTATCATGACATATCATGAAATACCGACCTACATAATCCTACCTGTACAAGCACAACCACTCCATATTGCTACAACGTCCACATGTGCGCCAAGCTTCAGGATGAGCCACTGCATGCTTTTGGTAAAGTCTGTCTCTGGTGGATCAAAGACTTGCATGGAGATCGTGAAGAGGTCATAGACCTGAAAGGCTTTTCACTCGCTGTGAAACAGAAGCTGGTTAGGCAGAAAAAAAACTTGGACATTAGACATTGAACGTGTTGTCTTGCCTTCCAAGTTTCCATGCTCAAACACCGTCCCTCAAAATGCCCGCAGTGTCTTTGATTCACTGCACAGATTCACAGATCCAATAAATCACTAAATCACTACTGACGACATAACCGTGATGAGTCTTTTTCTCTTTAGAACCGCGTCGTGGGACGATCAAGGTAGCACCAAAGACGTCCCAGGTCATCTTCCTTGGGCTGCTGGGGAAGATCATCAAATGCCTCAGGAAGCCCAATGACTCCTGCAACGCGTGAGCGACTGAAATCCGGAGCGCGTCAAAGCATCTGTCTGCTTTTGGGTAGAAAGCGTCTGGAAGGTCCAAGAAAGCATGCAGTCGAGAGATGCCTTTGGAAGCTTTGGCCATGAGGACATCATGAGGTGAGATGAACTGATGTTAGATGATGTTAGATGATGCTAGATGAACCAGTTCAAACCTCCCACCCTGGCCGCTTGCAACGGCGAACCCTTTGGCCGCTTGCTCCTGGATCACCATGGCCCCACCGGTCACGTCGTCCGCGAAGTCGCCGCCTCAGGTTCGACCAGCGAAACGCGCCGATGTGTTTGATTGGGGAAAAAGTATTGGACGAATCGGCCATATTAATAGCGATGGCCTCCAACCTAAAAGGAATGGCCTCCAACCTAATAGCGATGGCCTCCAACCTAATAGCAATGGCCTGCAACCTAATAGTGATGGCCTCCAACCTAAGAAGGATGGCCTCCAACCTAATAGCGATGGCCTCCAACCTAATAGCGATGGCCTGCAACGTAATAGTGATGGCCTCCAACCTAAGAAGGATGGCCTCCAACCTAAGAAGGATGGCCTCCAACCTAATAGCTATGGCCTCCAACTTAAGAGCGATGGCCATGATGGCCTCCAACCTGATGTGATCTGAATATGGGACCCCATGGGAGTAGACGACATTGTCATGTCCAATGTACAGAAAAGGGCCAAGAAATCAAACAACTCCATTTCAGTACTATCATCTATTTGTATGTGCCATTGGTTGTACCCCATCATCCAAAGGAATGGGGAAAAAACACCTGTCATAGATTGTCATATCAATATAGGTATACATGTTGGGTATATCCTGTTACCAAAGCTGGGAGCGGATGGTTCAGTTGCAGGCCGACAGGTCTTGTTGACCGAGTCTTACCTGTTTTGGACAGACCCACAGGACACCGAAGAAAAGAGAAGACCTACACCCGGTTGGGTCGGGTCAAAAGGATGTAAAAGAGGGAAGGACCTACATCCTACCAGCTCCGAAGGCCCTTTTGTAGGCCGTTTTTGGAGCCTTTTTGCCCATACATACATGTGTAAAACGTAAATGCATACATGCATGTGTAAAGCACATTTTAAGAACAAAAAAACATTGCCTTTTTTGCAGAAAACTTCACCATGGATTCCTGCTCACGTCTCAAACAAACCAGAAAGCCTTTTGAGCGAATCCACAGCCCGACAAAGTGATTTTATGCTGTCGTTTCCAGTCGGATCATCTCAACACTTAATAAATCTTAAAAGGCAGCTGGGTAAAACTACGTTGGAGCAAGGTTGAGCATCATTCGACGCCAAATCAGGACATTGATCATCCTTGATCGACGGGGCAGTGGACACATCATGACTCATGACATATCCTCTTCTAGGTAACTTGAGTAAAACATCCCTCAAACAAGTAGCCTCTTCCAGAAATCATCCTCAAACGGCGAGTTGGCTGCCTCACTTCGGCCAAAGTGGATGTGCTCCTGAAAACGGCCTGGATCAGGAGCAAAACCAGTTTGGGGCTATATCAAAATTGGCTTCACATGGGAAGCTCATCAGGCTGTCACAGGCCTGAGCAAAAATTGCAACAAAAGTGGCCGTCAACAAAACAGGAACGCCTTTGTGACATTCACATGGAGTCCCCATTGCTCCTGTTCGCGTCCCAGGGTACTATTTGAGCTGGATCTTCTATAGGTATCATGATATCATGTATGTATGTATATTAAAATTATGGTCATTCAACAGATCAGTGGCAAATTGAGCAACTGGGAATGCTTTGCCAATCTGTCCCTTGATTGTCTTGCATAACGCGCACATTGGAGCACGCACCTTGCATCCCGGATCCGTCTTCACGTCCAAGAAGCTGCTGGGTAACTTCGCCTCGCCGCTGATGCGGATGGTGGCAGAGGGGTCGCGCTCGTTTTTGGCCTCACGCGCCCAGGTGGGCAAAGGATGAAAGTCGTGGATCTGCATGTAGGAGGACCTCGGATCGACGAGATAACGAAGAAAAACACAAGGATCAAGCACGGAAGCATGGTTTTGGGATATTGCCTGGGGGACGCACCCTTTTTTGCAAGACAATCCAACCAGCCGGTTGGGCGGCGGCCCGGCCATCGGACACAGGGTCAAGACGGCCCCAACTCGTCTTCAGCCCCAGCGACGTCATGCTGCTCTCCAAATACTCGCTGCGCTGTAGCACGTGGCGCTTCCTGCATTTGTTGTCGCACGTCGTGGGCGCGGCGCTTCGGCGCTTCTGGTGTTTTGGGAGAGTGCGGCGTGTCTTCAGATGACCAGGTGATGCCTGGGGCTTCCTTACGGGGTCACCTGCCTGAAAGTCCCAATCAATCGAACCAATCCACCTAATTATAGAATCTCCATTTTGAACACCCAATTTGAAGGGCGCCTGAAAAAAAAGAATGGACCACGCAAAAAAATAACGCCCACACAGCCATCCCGGGTCAGGTCACCCTCGGGGAAGTGGATCACCCTCCAGACGGCCAGACGGTCCCGCCTCTCTGGGCTCAAATACACGAAGCGTGCCGGAGCCGACATCGTGCCTCGGGCGTCAACATCGGGCGGCATCGAACTGAAGTGGGATGGGGCTGGGGTAAAACCGGATTTAGCTATAAGCAAACAAACAAACAGCTCATGGATCTATGGAAGATCTCTGGTGGATTCTGGTGGACTCGACCGGTGGGTGGACTCTACGGTGTATGGCTCACACAGTGTCCGGATCTCACATGGTCCCTCACACTGCGAGGGGCTGATGTATTCTTTTTCTGCACCATCCACTCTTGTCATCTCTTGCTCATCTGGGTGGCCAACATACAGAAACCATCAGAAACCCATCACACATATATAATAGAAACCGTATGAAACACCTGGATTTTCTGGCGTGGCCATGTGAAGAACTCGGTCGGGAGCCTTTGCGAATCGAAGGGATTGGATGTCGGTCACAAGGGAAGGAGTCGAAAGATCTTGGCTCGGTCTATTCGCAGCTCGACCTAGAAAGCGTTCGACCTCGGTTTCGATAGCTGTACTGTTGGGTGGCGGGTGGTCTGAAAATCACTGAGGATGCTGCAGGTGATGGATAGTTGGAGTTTGATCGTCCAATTTCAGGTCTGATTCAGAAATCATGGCCCCTCCATGTTGAGAATGGTGAATTCAGCCAAAGGTACCACCCGCCCCATCCAAGGCTCATCCATGCTGCATTCAGCGTTTCGAGACACAACTCGTCCATCTTTCCCCCAAAAAACCTATAACTTGAATTTCACCATGTCACCTGGATCTTCTTCCAAGTGGCTTTGGATCCGACTCAGCTTCAGCCGCGGCGTCGCCTTCTCCGAGTTCGGCTTTGACTCCTCGTCGTTGTTCCCCTCGCCGCCGCTGTCGCCGCGCGACGGCGACGCGCTGCCCTGGGCGGGGGTCGCGAGCTCGCGCGCTTCGCTGTCACCGGTGAGGGATGTAAAGGTGCTGAAGAGCACCGGCCGCGTGGGCGACTTGGACTTGGCTGCAGGGGACACGCAAGAGTCCTCCAGGACACGTTACGGGTCGGTGTGGCGAAGATGTTGCGAAGGATTCGGAGCGGTCAGTGAGGTTTGGACCGGACACATGTCTGGAAGAGTCATGGGGGCCTGTGGATGGGATGGCCCCTTTTGTTCGGATGACCGTAGTCCGAATACCAAACAGGTGGTGCCATCCACCTTCATAACTATTTTAGGCAGCGTACATGGTTCGATCCCTGCACTGTTGTCTGTAAATCTCAAAGGTGAGCGTGTGTGTGTGTGTGTGTGTGTGTCAACACCTGTTCCAAAGGAACGCTGCAGGGGACCAGGCAGGATACATCGTCGCCTGGTCAACGAAGCTGGCGATGTATCCGAGGATATGGAAATAGGACGCCACTTCCAAGTACCTGCATAAATTGTTTAACCTCCTTTAAAGGGCTAGTGCACTTTTGTTAAACCTTCTGTTGAGCCGACCCAGCATTTGCTGCAGTTGGTTCAAGTCAAGGTCTAATTGCGCGTAAAGGTCTACCTGCAGTACAGTGGGACTTCGTCAACAGATACTGCTCTTGCGAGCCTTTATCTAAGTGTGTCTCACCACAGAGTCCCACTGTGGGCTGTGGTGTGATCCCCAGCAAGGGGCGCAGCATATGCACATACCCTTACGGGTGAACCTCCACTGGCTTCTCGGCCTGCTCGTGGACTTCTTTGGCTACAGTGTTCTGCTCGAGATTGCTGATCCTATGCCGCAGGGCTCACTGAAACTTCTTCCAAAGAATGACATACCATGCTGCTAAGTAATCATAGGCTCTAGGACAGCTAAGTATTCATAGGTTCCGCTAAGTATTCACCTTTTGGTTCTCTTTCTCCTGCTGTTGCTCTTCGTTTTCTAGGTCTTCTTTCTTGCTAAAGGCATTTTAGCTTTTAGGTGTAACCAATGCTTTTAGTCACGGGTGCGCCGATATCAGCTTTTTGTCAAGTGCCTTCGAGCCTGAGCTGACAATACCCCCCTCACACCCCACGCACACCCCTGCACCCTTTCTTTCCTTGCCTTTTTTCGTTTGCTTGGCCTTTTTCTTTCTGGCTTGATAGGTCGGCGTTTAGGCTCGTTTAGTCAACGCACACCCGGCCCCCCCTTGCACCTTTTCTTTTCTTTCCTTGCCTTTTTCGCTTGTCCTTGTTCTTTTCTTCAGGCTTGTTAGGTTGACAGCCAGGCTCGTTTAGTCAACGCACTCCCACATCCCCTTCCCCCCCCATTCCCCTTCCCGTGGAAAAGAGGGTGCGCCGTTCCGGCTAAAGGTGAGCGTGTGTGTGTGTGTCAACACCTGTTCCAAAGGAACGCTGCAGGGGACCAGGCAGGATACATCGTCGCCTGGTCAACGAAGCTGGCGATGTATCCGAGGATATGGAAATGGGACGCCACTTCCACGTACCTGCAAAAATTGTTTAACCTCCTTTAAAGGGCTAGTGCACTTTTGTTAAACCTTCTGTTGAGCCGACCCAGCATTTCCTGCAGTTGATTCAAGTATATAAAGGTCTGATTGCGTGTAAAGGTCTACCTGCAGTACAGTGGGACTTCGTCAACTGATACTGCTCTTGCGAGCCGTGATAAGAGCTTCTCACAAGAAGCATCCGATCAAAGCTTCTTCAGAGCTCATTTTCTCCTGCCCTGCAGAACATGTGGTCAAAAATCCGGTGTGCACCACAGCTACTGACCCTGACCGCCTTCTCCGCGGACGCGGTCCTTGTCCACCGTGATCTGCACCACCTCCGCCTCTTTGGAACGCTCCAGGAGCACCGGTGATCGCTGTCGCCGAGCCGTCGCCACGGCGGCTCCCGCGTCGTTCGGGTGGCCGGTCTGGCCGGCCGCCAGGGAGTCCAAAATCTGTGAGAACATCTGCATGTCCTCCCAGAACGGAGGGACGACATTGGCGCGGTGTTCTGGCATAGGAAACGCGCAGGAACTCTTATGTGGAAGAATTCTGTGCAGAACTGTGACAGCAAAAAGAAGCGTGAGTGGGTGTTTAACAGGTGGGTTTTGATTCATTTAAGGGTCCAAAGTTCGGAAAAAAGAACCTTTGCCATGCAATACGTTGAAGCCTATTCTTCCTGTTTCTTTTTCCGGAGATCCGGTCAAATACTCACCCGTCTGATGACTGAAACAGTGGGGGGATTCCATTCCCAGCCATTGTATCGGATGGTCGACCTCAAATACTAAAGATGAACATCCAGGATGTTTGACAAAACCAGGTCAAGATTTCATGATTTGAATGGTCGAACTGAAGGCGTATGGGCACATCATGTCCAACTGGTTTCCAACTGTCCAAGCAAACCTCCCCAGTCAACCGAGCGAAGCGTTCAGGAACCGAGTTTTTGCCCGCTGCCGTGTCGTTGCCTCATTGAGGCGTGCTTGTAGCTTCTGATGCCATTGAGCTCGCCAGTCTTCGAAAGCATTCCTCAAGCGTCTACTCCGGCTGTCCGTCGGCCATAAACCAAGGTTAAGACCCGCGTTCCGTTATAAATTCTACGACATCCAAATCTGGACCTTGGAAACAGATCTGGGTTGATGGAATCCCCTGCTGAGGCCAAACAAAACAAGCAACATCGTCTCCTTGTTGGAGGAGGTCTTCATTTCATCCAGCATCTGTTGCACCACATTTACAGGCAAGTGGAACGGATTACAGCAATTCCGAATCCAGCAAATGCAGAATGCATAACATGAAATCTGATGTAAATTGATGTACTGTAAATTGATGTAATATTCATTTGGACATCCCACACTCCATGTGGACAAAACCACAACCACCACCTTCCTACTGCGATATCCGGGATCATCGCCTCATCTCTCCAAACAAAGCCGTCTGGCTAAGCCCTTAGGCTCTTCACCGTCTGGCTATCCGCCCCAAACCGCCGGAGGTTCAGGGACCTCCACGTGGAGTGACGGACCAAACACGTCCCTGTAAGTGCAGGGTGAAGGGCCTGTCGTACAATAAGCCTATAAATCTTAGCTTTTCTTCCTGCCTCATCTGGATCAGTGGGGAGAAACATAGAAGAACCAGCTCTTGCAAGCCCCAGTCGCACCAGAAAATAGAACATCTCAAACAAAGGACGACACGATATTGATCAAAAATCCCACCTGACATCGATCAGCACCCATTCTTCAGCATCCTCGTGTTCATTTGAGGTGAGGTGTCACCCCAACAAAGCCGACACCGTCGTGGCACCGGGTGATGCGGTTGCGTTTCTCCGCTTTCTCGTCACGAACGTCTCCCGTCTCCATCGGTGCCGAGCTTCGGAGCTTCGCGAGAACAGGCGCACAACGCCATGAGGCTCGGGCGGCTCGGCGGCGAGGCGAAGGAGACCCGAGAAACAGGGCGCACTGAGACGTGGCGGTGCCGGGTGTTGTCAGTCCTCCTGAGCCCAGAGTCGGACGATTCATCCAGGGATCTCACCCGTTGAGCACCCGTTTGATGGTTTTCGGCTCCCGTTGTGGGATCGCAGGGATGCCCCCATGGTTCCTGGGTGCTCATCATACTAGCTTCAAACGATCCAAATGTCCCAACCTTTTAAGGAAAGTCAGGGGGCGCCAGTCAAGAACTTTTGACGGGGCCATGGAAGGTGGCTCAATGAAACAAAGACTGACAAGACCTCAAACATTCATGGGATCTGCCTCAATTACACAGTGGTCTGAGTACGTCAGCAAAGCAGCAAAACTGGTGGTTCAATTGACAAGGGTTTCATTTGGTTGCCAGAAAGCAACAGATCGTAAACCGTATAGAAATTGATGGCGAACTGATGTACGTCAGTCTCTCCACCAGGCTTCGCATGAGTTGCAAAGTGTTCACCTTCCAACATATACAAATCATTGAGTGGCAGTCAGCGGTCACTGCAAACACGTACACATACTGGAAATGATTATTTTGTTGAATCCGTCTTTTTCAGCAGTCAGCACTGCTGAGTGTCACAGCTCCCACCACACCAAAGGTTCCCACTTTTCACCACTCACCAAAGTCCCGCTTTCAGCTGCTCAGATGGTCACAGGTCCATATACCTGGCACGAAGATCGCGTCATAGATCTTATCTTCCTGTCCGTTGTATATGTTCAATCTTGACCTTTTTGAACACATCATAAAAAGAAGAACACATAGGACGAGGTTTCACAATTCAAGTGTTTTAGTTTGTTTTAATCAGCAGTCTACATTATTGAGGATGACCAGTTTGGGTCAAGCATCCGGCTCAGGGTGTGTGGCCCCACCAGGTGGCAATGGTCCTCCCTGCCCAAAAATGGATCTCACAAAGTAGGTTGAAGGCCATGGCTATTAGTTTGGAGGCCATCACTAGTAATTAGGAGGCGATGGTTGGAGGAGGCCATCGCTCCTAGGTTGGAGTCCAGCGCTACTAGGTTGGAGGCCATCGCTATCAGGTTGGAGGCCATCGCGAGTAGGTTGGAGGCCATTCCTATTAGGTTGGAGGCCATCGCTAGTAGGTTGGAGGCCATTCCTGTTAGGTTGGAGGCCATCGCCAGTAGGTTGGAGGCCATTCCTATTAGGTTGGAGGCCATCGCTAGTAGGTTGAAGGCCGTTGGAGGCCATCGCCAGTAGGTTGAAGGCCATTTGGAGGCCATCACTAGCAATTAGGAGGCGATGGTTGGAGGAGGCCATCGCTCCTAGGTTGGAGTCCAGCGCTACTAGGTTGGTTGCCATCGCTCCTAGGTTGGAGTCCAGCGCTACTAGGTTGGTTGCCATCGCTATTAGGTTGGAGGCCATCGCTATTAGGTTGGAGGCCATTGCTAGTAGGTTGAAGGCCATTGCTAGTAGGTTGAAGGCCATTGCTAGTAGGTTGGAGGCCATTGCTAGTAGGTTGGAGGCCATTGCGTCAGTCGTGATCACGTTGTCGAGTCAGTTCGACGGTCGGGAAAGTCTGAACTTCACGTACTTCACTAGTGGCTTACGATGGAGTTGGGAAACGGTGCCGGTCACGGAGCGTTTTATCCATTTGAAGCCGCATCACATTAGCGGTACTATGCGGTACCATGACGTACCTGTCCAAATACATCATCTCCCCAAGCCTTCTGCCAGGTTTTGCATTGCCCGGATCCTTCACAAAGGGAACTCAACCAATTTCACCAAAATGGGGGTTTGGATGACGGTAGGATCCGCAAGCCAAACACTCCGCGTAGGGCGTAGGCAAATCCAACCTACGTTCTCCCCTTAAGTCACGCAGGCAAGTCCTGTGGTCCATATTGCATCTATACTTGTTTGATGTGTCTTAGACATTTGCATTAATCCATTTGGACAACGACCACATGACTCACAGCCATTGACCCTCTTTCTTCAAGTCATAAACCGTTGACCCTCTTTCTCCAGCACTTTTAAGAGCACCTGATAAGCCGAAGCTTCGGTGAAACCAAACGAGACAGGGAGATCCATCCGGTGACAAGGTCTCATGAGTCACCTGCAACCGAAGGAGGCACGTGTTTGTGGTGTTGCTGTTCTAGTCCGCTCCTCTCCTCCTGATGATGGCCTCCAACCTAAAAAGCGAGATGTTCCCGAACGTGCCAAATGACGGAGAGATCAATCAGTTGCTTGATACCACAGTTCTATTGGTTGTCCCAAACAGAACGAACTATAATATCTCGCGACCACCCCTCACCGAGACGATACAGCAACAACTTCACGGAAGCATCTCCAAATCAAAGAAGCTTTGCCGATGATCTGAGTGCCAGAAAAGGAAATGAATTGCACATTAATTACACCAAGCTAGGTGACAATATGAGTGCAAATTATGCACTGCAAGAAATCCTGAAACTCCTGAAGCCAAAGTGCTGCAGGCTGCTTGGAAAAGTGACACCTTCCAAGCTTTGGTCAAAGCCACTGCCGAAGGTCAAGCTCCGTAGGCTGCTTGGCAAATCAACACCTTCCAAGCTCTGGTTGAATTTCTCGGCAAAGGTCAAAGTCTGCAGACTGCTTGGCCAGATGACACCTTCCAAGCTCTGGTTAAAATAGGCGCCGAAGCTCAACGTTTGCAGGCTGCTTGGCAAGATGACACCTTGCAAAGTCTCATCGAAATTCTGCCCGAAGGTCAAAGTCTGCAGACTGCTTGGCCAGATGACACCTTCCAAGCTCTGGTTAAAATAGGCGCCGAAGCTCAACGTTTGCAGGCTGCTTGGTAATGTCACACCTTCCAAGCTCTGGTTAAACAGAAAGCCGAAGGTAAGAGTCTGCAGGCTGTCTGGCAGGGCGGCGGCGTTCAACTTCCGGTTAAACATGTAGCCAAAGGTCAAAGTCTGCAAACTGCTTGGCAACATGACACCTCTTAAGCTCTTGTTGAAACAGTAGCCGAAGGTCAAAGTCTGAAGGCTGCTTGCCAGGGTTACTCCATCCAAGCTTTGGTCGAAACAGTGGCCGAAGGTCAAAGTCTGAAGGTTGACTGGCCAGGTAACACCTTCCAAGCTTTGGTCGAAACAGTGACCAAAGGTCAAAGTCTCTAGGCTGTTCGGAAAGGTGACACCTTCCAAGCTCTGGTCGAAACTGTCTCCAAAGGTCAACGTGTGCAGGCTAGTTGAAAAGGTGACTCCATCCAAGCATTGGTCGAAACAGTGGCCAAAGGTCAAAGTCTCTAGGCTGTTCGGAAAGGTGACACCTTCCAAGCTTTGGTTGAAGTCCTGGCCGAAGGTCAAAGTCCGCAGGCCGCTTGGCAATGTGACATCTTTCAAGCTCTGGTTAAAACTGTCGCTGAAGCTCAAAGTTTGCAAACTGCTTGGAAAGGTGACACCTTCCAAGCATTGATTAAACTTGACGCCAAAAGTAAGTGTCTGCAGGCCACTTGGCAACTTGCCACCTTCCAACCTCTGGTTGAATTCTGAACCAA